CCAATCAGACTCACAAATGTTATGGGCAACATCTGGCTAGTCCGAGGATGGGCAGCATGTTGCACTAGGACCACATGGAAATTTCAAAGCTCATTTTGCAAGCATGCAGGTCAGACTGATGGCAAGAGCAATCCATCCAATGTTATTGCTTGGGAAAAGAAAGGGCAAAAGAGAAAGGAAAGGAGGAGGGAGAGACTCTGATGCCAAAGAGAGAGGAAAAAATGGGGGTGTTGAAAACCTACTTCTGGGTCTGGCCCTGCCCACTGCTTGCTTAAGCCCCAATCCACATTGCTGCATAATTTCTTGCAGATCACTGCCAAAGGAATAGACTCTTAACAATAACAACAGTAACAATAACGGCTGCCAAACTACACCCTTGTCTCTCAGATTTAATGCCAGATACCAAAATCAAAACATCATTAGGAGGGGCACAGTAGCTACATATGCAAGAACCATACGCACAACAGAAACTGTTCTTGCAACTTTCTCTGAGCGGCATCATATTTTAATTCCCTGCCATAGAAATGATCTCGTTGTATACTGACAACTAAAAGATCAAAGAGAAAGCTAGCCTTTTTTCTGACAGACTGAACATCACACCAGCAGGAGTTATTCCTGGAAGCAAACTACAGTGCACCAGTCTTTTCCCTCCACAACTCTTTATAAATGCTGGGAAACGGGCTTGAGGGATTTTTCTTGAAAAGATCGCCATGAGGTTGGAACTGGACAGACTGAAAAGACAAGAAGATTCTCCAACTGGGAATGTGTCCCTGGTTGAATTTGAAAGAGTTTTCTGCTTCAACATACATGGCAGTACCAAGCTACCAAGTTATCAAGGTAACATTGGCTACCCGCAAAAAAAGCTAAATAGAATCACACCTTTTTGATACTGAGATAGGAGGCCACCAGGAAATCCCAAGGCTATGGCTAGACAGAGAAGTGGAAAAAACATCAGAAAAGTAGGCAGTAGCAAAGCACTACCATAAGATTGCTAAGAAAATGACAAGAAGCCCCCAGAAGTTAAAGTCAACTCAAAAATGGCTTTACACTTGCTTCAACCTACTCATCTCAACAGGCTCCTCCAGCTTGTTTCCCAAAAATAAGACCTCCCCGGGTAATAAGCCCAATCAGGCTTTTGAGCGCATGTGCTAAAATAAGCCCTCCCCAAAAAATAAGCCCTCCCCAAAAATATTGCAACATACAGCAGCCATGAGGTGACCACGCTCGCCACTTCCTATACCTCAAAAATAATAAGTTTATTTCGGGGTTCAAAAGAAAATAAGACCCCGTCTTATGCTTTAACCTACTCACTTACAGGTATCATATTTTTCGGAGTATAAGACACACCGGAGTATAAGATGCACCAAGGTTTTGAAGAGGCAAATTTTTAAAAAAGTAGGTAGGTCGAGAGAGGGAGAGAGAGGGAAAGAAAGAGAGAGAAACACAGTAGGTAGGTAGGAAGAGAGAGAGAGATAATAGGTAGGTAGGTGGAGGGAGGGAGGGAGGGGGAAGAGAGAGAGAGAGAGAGAGAGATAGAGTAGGTAGGTAGGAAGAGAGAGAGAGATAATAGGTAGGTAGG